GGTCACAAACCCCAGCAGTACTTCCCAGGTCACATGCACCCTTAATTTTTAAAGAATCTGGAAAGAGTCTAAGCAGTTGATAACAGGTCATTTCTAGGTGATAAAGGATGTTTGATATGGGGTGTTGCTTTTCTTTCCACACCTAGCGTTTTTATAGTCATTCAGAGACTTATTTTATGCGATGGTAGGTTGTATGATTTTAAAAATGTAACTTAACTGGTAACCGAATTTAACTCTTTTTCCTTTTTCTGGTGTTTGACATTGATTTTGAGGTCTTAAAACTTTTTTTCAAGCTTTAAAAAATATTATTCTAGTTCAGTTTATATATAAACACTTCCCATAGTCATTGACTTCAATAAAGTACAAGTGGAAATGCCATGCCAAAGGCAGCTCTTCTTTAAGTATATAACTACTGCCAGAAGTGCTTATGTATTTTCTTTCAAACATCTTTGTATTAAACTAATTTTAAGAACTTTACTTAACAAATAGATTCATTTGAATGTAAAAATTGGGAACTATAGATTGGTGCTTTAGAAATTTAGTTTAGTCTTTCAGTGACCTAGCAGTTGATATGAAAACTGAATTTAAAAATAAATAGCATATTGGATAAACTGTACTATACTCATGAAGGAAGCCAAAAATATGGATTAAGCTGAATTAAAAAATAATTCATTTTGAGTCCTAAACCATATTCATTATTAAATTGAAATGATAGGTCCTTGACCCTTGGGTGTGCGTGGAATAAATATGGAACACAGTATTGTTTTTAAAACTATTTTGCTTTTATAAGCTAAGACAGATGTACAAAAAAGATGTAGTTTTTATTTTGTATTGGCAGCTTCCAAATATTTAGTGTCTATTTCCAAGAGTTGCAATTAGTAAAGCAACCATGGTACTGAAATCTGCACATCCCACAAGCTAATTATATTTGCAAGGTCAGAGTGAATACATATTTTCAGAAAAATAAAGGGTTATATAAATATGTGTCTTCTACTTGGCTGTTATATCACAGTTTGTTGATCTGGAATATAATGTGTACAATTCACAAATTTGTCTGATAACAGAAAGTGGTGTGTGATTGTGTTTATTTTACTAACCAGTATATTCACAGCAATCACTTCCAAATATCTCTCCAGTAAAGATGTGTTAATTACAAAACAGACAAGGTCTTCTATTATATTAAAGCTACTAACAAGAAGACAGCAGGAATCACACATGTAAATAGCATCATCAACCCCTATTTTAGTCCTCTGTTTTGATCTGTGAGTTGCGCATAGACCAAAGGTGCTATTAAAGACTGAGTGTATGAAATAGGCAGCATTATATGAACAAAATTTATTCAACAAGAAAACAGACCTTTAACATGAATTTAACAAGCCTGAGAAATTATAAACTATCATATGCTGCAGATTCATGCAGTGATAATAAACAAAAAAGGAAAGTAAGAGGTTTCCCTAAGCTAGCCAAACTGCTAATGGTTTTGTTATAAGCTGTCTACTGTTGCAGTGACCTCTGAAAAGTCTCAAGGCACTTGTACCAGAAAAAAATTAAATGATTAGGCTGGTGAATAGAGATTCAATGTGGTGTGTAGGACTTCACCATGGAAGGGAATTATAAAAGTATAGCATCATGTTCCTGAAAATATTCTTCATACTTTAGCTTGCAAGTTTTTATTACATATTAAGAAGATAGTTTTTATGTAGTTTTTTTGGCTAAATTCCTGTTTGGATTTATAAGACATAAACTGAATTGGTTTAATGTATATATACTTTAAAACAAACTCTTTAGAAAATTCATATAGCTCCAAAAAATGAATTATTTCCCTTGTTCCCCCCTGTCCCCAATGCTTTAATTAATCCTTGGGAATTGGGGGTTCTTTGTTCAGTATATTGTATCTAAGCTTTCCATTCTTAACCATGGAGTGACCACTTTGCTGTCATTCTATTGCATCATGCTGTAAATACATAAACATGGAGAAACGCCTTCAACTTGTACACACCTCCAAGTGCTCACTAGGGCTTTTTCTTGAATCTTAGTGTGGCGTAATTAACACCTTCTTTACCCACTGCTCATTAGTGCACTGGACATTAATGAGTCTATTTTGATAAGTTGCTTTAAAGGAGAAACCCACTTATTCTCACAGCACAAAAAGCAATTATAAAATTTTATAGAATTTAAATGTAGACTGTATTGCCATATTTATACTTTCATTGTGTACTAAATCTAATTTTGGTCTGCAGGTTGTTGAACATGTTAGTTTCCTTAAGACAGTTGCTATAGTGATGGCAGCACATTCCTTTAATCTTAGTGTAAAGTATTCATTTTCTGTTGGTTATCATACTGCGACTCAGGAATGGTCCATCTAAGCATGTCATTTCACATAGGCCATCATTTATTAATTGATCAGTATATTAAATTGTTGAATTTTTCTCTTAGCTTTTTAATAGAATTAAAAATTTTATTCAGATTTATTTTTGACTGGTCATGAGATCTGTTTAGGTAGAATTTTCATTTCTTTTTTAAGTTTCACACCTGCTTATAATAGTCTAGAGAAATATTACAGAGATTTTTGCATGTAAAGTAGCTATCTTCTGTTTTAGTTTAAACGTGTTCAATATAAATAAAACGTATTCAGGCATTTTGTTGTGATACAAAGTAGAAGTTTCATGGTTTTGTAGACTGTTTTTTTCCTCTACAAATGATTTTACTAAAATCTTAAAAACAATTGGACCAAAATGATACTTTGCTCTTTAATATCTACCACTCATAGTAAGGGTAGCAATTCTTAATTCTGTGTTTATTTAGGTTGTACATCTATCTGTCAAAATAGTCACTTTTATTTTGGCTATATTTTAATTTTATCTTATTTTATGTGCTTTTTAGTAGAAAATGTTAGACAACTTTAAACAACTATTTTAAAGTATTATAATGTCTGATATTAGTACATTTATTTATTCATTCATTCATTTATTTATTTATTCATTTATTTATTTTATAGGCAGAGGAAGGGAGAGAGAGAGATGGAAACACTGATGAGAGAACATCGATTGGCCGCCTCTTCCACTGGGGATCGGGCCCACAACCTGCGCCTGTGCCCTGACCGGGAATCGAACCGGCAACCTCCTGGTGCATGGGTCGACACTCAACCACTTAGCCACACTGGTTGTGCTTAGTACCTATTTTCATTGTTGCTTTATAGAAAAACACAATTAGAAGCATTTGTAAGTATAAGGAAGAGGTGTAAACCTAGGCCATACTTATTTATATATAAATGTGAAAGTTAAGTCTGGATTGTAATCGATAAAAAGAAAGAAGACCAGCTGCTGTGGCTCAGGGGTTGAGCATCGACCCATGAACCAAGTCACCGGTTCAGTTCCCAGTCAGGGCACAGGCCCAGGTTGTGGGGCCCAATCCCCAGTGGGGAACATGCAGAGGGCGACCAATTGATGTCTCTCACCGATGTTTCTCTCTCTCCCTTACTCTCTCTCTAAAATCAACAAAGAAAAATTATTGGGAAAAAAAAAAAAAAAAGAGTTTTCAAAAACTATTAAATCATGCATGTTCTGGGGATACTTGTTTTTATTTTGAGGCAAGAGAAATCTTTGGGGAAATTCAAACTGTTAGAAGTAAAAGCAAAATTCAAAGTTGATTTATTTTTTATTCTTTATTTGTTTGGGCTACCAGAGTGGACAGAGGCCTTATATTGACTCACTTGTCATATTGCTGTGGTTTAAGCTTGTACTCTTTGATACTGTTGACCCTTTGTGGCAGCTTTTAGAAAGAGTGATTTTTGTTTTCTTTATGTCTTTAAATCTTTAGCATACAGCATGTAGTAATGCTTATTACAAACATCAGGCTTGATTAGATTTCAGTTGGTTTAACTTGAATATAAATTTTATTTTAATTTCTTGGTATTCTCAAGTAATAGTTATACAAATGAGAACCAGTCTAGTTTGCAATAGCTTTTAAAATGTTGATATATCCCAGTTGTGTAACACTATTAAAGACAAATTTGGAAATACTATATTATCCTGCTTTATGTGATCAGTGTATTGTGTTTATTCTCTCAGCAAGTGATTTCAGTTCCTTGAAAGAGGCATCTGTCTTAAAGTCCTAGTGCTTTACTTAAAACTTCACAACATTTAAGAGCTTTAATGAGTTCTTTCAAATCCATGGTAATGAACAGAAAAACAATATAAGAGTATGTGATTCTTGTTAAAACTCTTAATATATGAGCTAACAGATGACATTGTGTCATGTAAGAATATGAACCATGAACCATATACAGAAATATTGCATACACTTAGTACAGAGGATACCTATTGTTATTTCTTTACTGTGAACTTAGCACTTTGTCATTCTATACCATGTTCCTGGCTTAAAGCACAGATGACCTTGGTTTTCTTTTGTTGTGCCTCCTATTTTTGGCAGTGGCTTGGACACTTAAGGCCATCAGACAAGGTATAAAGTCTTTTATAGTCACAAGAAGTAAAAGGTATCTGACTAGAAGAGAATACATGGAGCAAGTGCCTTGCTGGTTGTAATTTTGTTGTCATTTCAAGTACTGTGGTGGTATAATTGATGTGACAGGGCTGGGCTTTAGATGTGGTCCCTTAGCTTGTGCTCACTTTCAGTTTTAGTTTCTCTTTGTCATTCATTTTGATTAGGTAAAATTTAGGTGACAAACATATGCACACCAATGGAGGCTGTTTGGTGTAAGTTTAGTAATGACTTATTTCAATAATAAAGATGCAAAGTTAATATTTTTCCTTACTGCTTCATGAAAATTGCAATAATTGGTGTCACTTTACATTACAAGAATGAGGGTGGTGTGCTGATGGCACAGTCAGCAGGAGGTTCTTTTTTATTAATATTATAATTAAATGATTTTCTGGAAATAGGCCAGAAACAGATGCAAGTTGATCATGCCTTGTCCACTGTTGCTTGGCATCATCACTTGCTTTTTAAAAAAGAATTGACCTGACACCTTGTTTTTACAGGTTGTTATTGATGCCTTCAGATTGATCAATGCTAATATGATGGTCCTAGGACATGAACCAAGACAAACAACCTCAAATCTGGGTCACTTAAACAAGCCATCTATCCAGGTAAAGCCTATATTTGTTAATGTGTTAAAAACTGTGTTTTACATTTTAAAAGCTGTTATAAATGACCATTCTAAGATTTAATATTTAGCATTTTAATTTGTTTACAATTAATTTTTCTTGTGCTTTAAAAGATTATGAAGTATTGTTGCAAAAGTAAGTTAGATTTGCTTATTATGTGAGTCAGTTTTTAGTAAAGTCTAAACTTTTCTAATAGTTTAAGGACACCTTTTTGGGGAGCATAGTAGAGCCTTTATCTTGAGATAACTTATGGCTTTGCATGGTTAACATTAGTAGTAAAAGATCAATAGGAGTTTCGGGTGGAGTGCATTAGGTGTCATTCATAATTGGTTAGTAGACATTTCTCATAGCAGCAAACAGTACTTAAAATTTTCTACTTTTTCTGTTTAATCTGCACCTTTAAAACATATCCTACAAAACACATCTAGATATTACCTTTGATTAGAGTTTTTATCTTGTTTGAAGTGATGTCAACCACACTTGTTACAGTTATTCAGACACTTAATATCCTCCTGAGTGATTTATGTTTTCTTTGTATCATTTACATGCCTCATTGTTTTTACACAAACCTTTGTAGTCTGCAAAAATTATTTTAAATGTGTTTTTAAATGTACTACAACCTGTGTCTATATAGTTAATTGCTTCTCTGAAGCAATTAATCTGAAGATTAATTAAAAGGACAGAAATACCATGTTTGGTTAAATAGAACACATAGGACAAAGACTTTATAGTAGCTATTGCTGTTCTCCCTCTGAAACCTTGTGCTGTCATACCATTGTCTTTGGGGAGTTGTGGCTTTAATAGTTAGCCATGGTTAAGCCTTTGTTATACTTTGATAACTGTACTTTTTGACATTTACTTATGTAACAGTCACTCATCTGAAATCTTCATCAGAGTGAAATGTTTTGTTTCAAAGGATTCGAGGTGTTGCTTTTGAAAAATGATTTTTTGTAAGTCAGGGAAAACTGCAAAGTATAATGAGTATGAAATAAGCTACCAGTGTTTTTGATTGGGTACAGACAAGCCCATGCTTGCATGTTCCAAGAGAATATATTATTGGACCTGTTTAGCTTGTGATAATGACCTTTCTGGTAAACCCCCATAACATCATACTACTTCATTATTTTTTTTGCAAAAGGTTAAGTAGCATCTCACAATCTAAGAACATTGTGATTACTTCATGGTATGTTTCTGCCAGAAGTTTTCACTAATTGCAAGTCAACAGCCACCTGTTGCAGATTTCATCTTTTAAATTTAAACACTGCCTTTTAACCTTAAAAACTCAGTATAGTCGATGTTAAAAATCTTTCTGTTCTATACTGCCCGCTTTTTATTTTTTGGACCTAACTTACAGTCTGTGACTTAAGATGGACCTTATAAAGCAGGTTCCAAACTGAAAAAGACCTGTGTATATAGTATATAACAACTACAGGATCATTGGTTTTCTTATTTTAGTTTGTTTTGCTTTCCATTTAAAATTTGTAAATATATTTATTTCACAGTTTATATAGCGCCCATCAGAATGACATATATCTGGGTGCTTTACAATATTAAGACAATTTCAATACTAAACACTCAAAATGGGGTTAAGCCAAAAAGTAACAGAATAAAGCTACACCTTAAAACAATTTAATAGTTTTCTTTTTGCTGTTGTTGTTAATCCTTACCTGAGGATGTGTTTTCAGTTATCTTCAGATAGAGTGGGGACAGGGGGGAGAGAAACAGAGATTGAGAGAGAGAGAGAAAGAGACATCGATGTGAGAGACACATGACTTGGTTTCCTCCCACACAACCCCAACCAGGGTGGGAATTGAACCTGAGACCCTTCAGTCCGTAGGCCGATGCTCTAACCATTGAGCAAAGCCAGCCAGGGCAATTTTTAAGTTTTTTAAGGCAAGCTACAAAGAAAGCAACCCAGAAGAACATGAACAGTAATAGCCATAATAGAATTTTAATACATGTCAGCAGAATTTTTAACTCGGGGATCAGAAGCTCTTCACAAAAGCCATGTTTTTTATTTAGAAAGAAAATGAATTCGTGTTAAGATGGGTTTTGCTCCTAAACCATCTGTCAGGTAGTGGAGTCAGAGACCCAATAGCAACCTTCAGCACTTATGCTGGTGGTCACTATGCTTTCCTAAGGCTGGCTTTTTTACTGTTATTCCTATAGTAGTAGTAGTAAAAAATTATGATTCTATTGGATGATGGTATTTAATAATTTAAGGAAAGTTTCTAATATATTAAGTAGGAAAAAGATTTAAAATAAGATATACAAGTTGCAAAACTATATATTATAAACTGTGCCTATATATTTACACCAAAATGTTAGTATCACTTATCTTTGGGTAGAAGGATTTTTTTTTTTTCCTTGTTTTTCCTTCTCCAGATATTTCTTAAACTTTCTACAGTGAAACATATATTGCTTTTAGAAAATGTGATTTTTAAACCACGAATAACAATGTTGAAATAACTACCACAAGACAAAGCTAATAAAGTTTATATTAACTTTCGTATTTTAAATAAGAGAAGCCATTAATAATCCTAGTAGAGAGGAAAAAGTATAATGCCTATACTATAGACTTTTTTGTTAATATATGAGATTTTGTATTATTTTGTGAATACAGAAATATAAATAATTTAGGTGGTGATTGATTTTGAAGTTTATTTTACTGTGCGGATTGTGTACTAGTTTTACATTTGTTATACCAACAAAATTATAAAGCTCTACTCTAAAGATTAACCAGAGGAACTGAAATAACCTGAAAGTTAATCAGCAGGAAGCATCTCAGAACTGCTCTTTGTTTAGTTCCTTCTCTAAACCATTCTTTGTCTAGAATAGATAGCATCTTAGACTGGTACTAAGTACCAACCTAGGCAGAACTTTCTTCTTGAAAGGGTGGCAGTCTTTGAGCAAAGGAAACATGGATCAGGATATCCAATGACCAAGTAAGTTAAGTGCTGTAAGTAAATCCAAAATACATTGTCATACAAGCAGTGCTATAAAAGTTGGCTAATTTCCCAGGTCAACCACCAAATGCTTATTTGGCCTGCAGTATATATTATAGAATAGAACGATACTTTAGAACACTGCTTCTGTGAGACACTGTTGCAGATTTCAAATGGCCAATTAATGAATGAGGATCTGGAACATATCCTGTTTTAATGAAGAATGGCTTAAATTTTCCTATGTCCATCATATCTTTGTTAAGTGTAACTGAAAAAGTTAAGTATTGATGTTTTAAGAAATTTTCTGGCTATGTAACTTTCTCCTTTATCTGCCTGACATGCTATGGCATTTGCTGGGATATTGTGTTTAATTTACAATTTGGCTTTTTCAAAAACTTAGTGTCTTCCTTGGTAAAACTAATCATATATTTGGCATATGCTGCTACAACTTGTAATTCAGTGTCAACTAGATTGGTTAATTTGAGAGAATTTATTATGTATTGAGCTAAAAACTAAGCTGTGCTTTTTGGGCTTGTGTGGAAAGAGGACTGCACGTGGCTAATGTACTTAGATTTGTGATAAATGCACTGGGAGTACACCGCAGGTGAGGAAATGAACTTGGAAGATGGCTTCGAGATATCATTCAATTTAAACTAATTTTTGTTTTGCTATTATACCTGCTAATCTTTCACGCTGCCTGTGTTAGTTCTACTACTTTTATCTAAATAATGTAATTGAAATTTACATAGGTAGTGCTTTCAAATACCAAACTATATATTTCAGCAGTACAGTTAATCTCCAAAATGTGGACCTGACTGTGGGCACATTGGCTGACTTCTATAATTGTTGACCATATCTGTTATTAACTATATGGCCGCTATGTAGAGGTACGTAGTTAGGACATTGCACAAAGGTACTTGGATGAGGGAACAGTTGGCACCTGAGAAATCTAGTGGAGCCAGGCTGTGTCTGTTTGGAGGACTGGGCACCTTTTTCTAATTCTTTCACCCAGTGGATACATTTCCTAGTTTGCATAAAGATGAGTAATTAAGAAAAGCCCGAATTTCACTTTTTTATCTGTACAGTACAGCATTTCTGTACACTTAAATTTAATTCTGGTGATTATTAATAATCCTGATGATTATTAAAATGGATAAGGATCTGATAGGTACTCTTAGTACTTTAATTTTGAATATCAACCATTTTACTATAGCAGATGGTAGGAATATAAGTGGATTATTACAATACATATTAAAATGTTTTAGTACTTGGAGTGATTTTTGCTAGCAAAGTAAGCTATGCTTTGTTTTTATTCTGATCCTTAAAGTTCAAAGACTTACTCCAAGAATTTCCTAAGACACATTATAGCATAGCACGGTAGAAAAAACATGAGCTTTGGAATCAGAAAGACTTGGATTCAAATCCCAGCTTTACCTTTTACTAGCTACAAACCAGGACAAATTAAGATTTGTGTCTTATTATCTTTATCTGTCAAACTACTTACTGGGTTGTTGTGAAGATTAGAAGACTTAACATATAAAGCAGATGCTAGGTGCTCAGTAAATAGTTCCATTCCACCCCTTCTACTTCGACACCATAATACCTACACTGTGAAAATCTAATAATTAGAGACCATGGCATTTGCTTTGGTTAGCTTTATCTTTAGTTCCTTGAAGTTAAACCCAGGGTCCTCTTTGTTTTTGTACTTGTTGAAAATATGTCCAAGTTATATTTCTGTATTTTGTCTTAGTAGGCTGATAGAGGGTCCCTCAGAATCCCATTCTGAACCTCATTTGAACTTTTTTGGCTAGTGTTAGATATTTGAGCAGTTATGAATGGATTCTAGCACAAGCAGGGTTATTGCTTCTTAATAAAGCCGTGCCATTAACTTTAATTTTTATTATGATTTGCCTGTTTGTCTTGGGGAAGAAAATCTTGCTAGTGAGATTGTAGACCCAGTAAGAGAAAACTCTCTACTTTGTTCATTGGGAGACATATGTAGACACAATTATTTGAATCTATTAGAACTGAATTAAGAAGGGAGAGCCCAGATTAATGTGAATAAAGAAGTAAGTGTCTTATGACTTTTTAGGCTTAATTTTTAAATAACAAGGAGCCCCCTAAATGTAAAATCAGGCTTAATACATTCTATATTATTTATAAATTATGAATAATTAATGTTTAATTTTGATTATGATGAGGCAAACCCTATCTCAAACTGAGCAAGGCTACTGAAACTGTTGAATTTGTGCTGCACTATATCATGTTTTGAAGAATGTGTGACCTATGAGGGGCAAAAAATTAATTTAATTTTTATTTAAGATAAAAAGCCTTTTTTAGATGATGATAAAGGTATTGTCTACAGGATATGTTAACAATTTCAGACAGCTGTATTTATTTTAATAAAAGAAAAATATTAATGTGTCTTTTTCAAATTATTTGTCTATATAGGCATTAATTCATGGACTAAACAGACATTATTACTCTATTACTATTAACTATCGGAAAAATGAACTGGAACAGAAGGTAAGTTTAAATTTTTATGTTAGAGGAAGAAAAAAAGTATTTTTCATACCATTGAAACTATGACCTGGTATATTTGAATTTTAATTGTTGACCTATTTCATGGATGTATTCCAAATACATATTTTCTTATTCCTGATGAATTGGAGCATAAAAGAAAGGAATGTTTTATTGAATATGTCATAAGACATTTTACCTTATTGGTAGGCGCTCAAGTAGGAAATAAACATTTCAGTTTGGCTCTATGATAAATTATAAAAATCTTTCCCCTAGTTCTTTGATTTTCTTGATTAATTTATCTTCTCCAATAAAATGATCTTTTGTAACTAAATTACTAAATAGTTTTCCACATTGGCAAGGACTAAATTAGATTGTAATTGTGTATTGCTTTTTAAAAAGTACCATGTTTACCTAAGGTAAACTAAAGGTGAGTCAAAAGGGAAATGCATTTTGGGGTTTTCAGATATTTAGAGCTAGATTCTTTTTTTTTTTAATTGATTTTTGGGAGGGAGGGAGGGATAGGAGGAAGGAAGAAGAAGGAGGAGGAGGAGGGGGGGAGAGAGAGAGAGAGAGATTGATTGATTGATTTGTTGTTCCACTTTTCATGTATTCATACCTGGCCAGGGCTAGACCTATATTCTTTTCCCTGTTTATACCTGGCAACTTTCAAATTTGACTACTTCTAAAATTACATAACATCTTAGTGGATTAACATTCTTTTGTTTCTACTATTTTAGGATTGTTTCAAGTATACTTTTTCTCTCCACTAACATCGAGTATTTAAATCTGCCTATTGCTTTTTGAAATTACAGTATGAACTGTTCTCTTTTTTTTTTTTTTCCTTTACTATTAAAATTACTCCTCCTTCAAATTAGCTGCTTGTGTTTTTCTCTCAGAAAAACAAAAAAAAATTTTAAGCCGCTGTGTACTATTGACAGGCCAGTAATTTTGGTTCCTTCATCCACTCTGAAGTCCAAACATGATAAGTAATCAGGAGTAAACAAGACCTTGCCAGATGAAATTGTTCCTCACAAAGATACCTTAAAAGGGGATTCTAATGCATATGATGAGTGGGATGGGGAGTTAGTTGGGCTCTCCATCTACTCCCTCTTTCTACTAGATGACTTCTAATTTTATCTCAAGTTTTATAAACTATTTTTTAACAGTTTAAAGCTACCAATAAACTCACCTAAAGGTCCTAGGGGCCGGAAGCTGCAGGGTACCAGTTCTTCCTTGGCCTGAGGGAAGACACAGCCATAAAGCTCTCTTCCAGTTGCTTGCTGGTGTCCCAAAGTTTATATCTGCTGTGGTAGATTTATTTAATCCTCACCCAAGGATATGTTGTACTGATTTGAGAGAGAGAGAGAGAGAAAGAGAGAGAGAGAGAGAGAGAGAGAGAGAGACTGAGAGAGACTAAGACCATTGATGTGTGTGAGAAACATCTCTCAGTTGCCTCCCATACACACCCCAACCGGGGATCAAACTGACAACCTAAGTATGTGCCCTGACTAGGAATTGAACCGGCAACCTTTTGGTGTACAGGACCACACTCCAACCAACTGAGCCACCTGGCCAGGTCTGCTGTGGTGAATTTAGTTGATAGCTTGAAGTATGTTTTCATCACTTTTTTTTTTCTTAAGTATGATCAAGTTTTTTTTAAAATTTTGATCATACTTTAGAAAATAGAGAAATACAAAACATTTGCATTTTTTAAAGTTAAAGCGTTCAAAAATTGGTTACATTTAATATTTTTCTTCATATATATTTCTCTAAGATTTAACAGACCAAAAGCAGACCTCACATTAAGCTTTATCAATATCACACACACAGAGGATTAATTCCATGAGAAACCAGTTGAACAGGTCATATATTTTTAATGCTCCAAACATACACTCCGATATGATGAGCCTTAGAGTCAGGTTGCAACCACAGGTTCATCACTTATCTTTAATTTTACATAGAATAAGTACCAACTGTGGAAAGAGGCATTTCTTAAACATAAACTGAAAAATTCATTCAGATATATATAAGTATTTTATCAGTCTGATATCTTACATCCAACTATTGGGAAATATTCATCTAATTATATTATATTTTTTCCCTTTTTTTATCACATAAACTTAGCCACAATCCGTGGCTTAAAAAAACACACATACAAATACATAAATTAATTGATGTGATAGTTATGTTCCTAGTATATCAATTCAGGTGCTTTCTTGTTACCAAAAGATTTGCCTTTACTCTTATGCCACCAACCTGTATACTTATTTAACTCCAAGCCTTATGTGAGGGTCCCAAGGAATCCTTGTCCAGGCATGGTAGGGATATCCTGCTGCTCTGTGGGAACTTGGTTTGCTTTTGAGGTGGTAGGAAAATCTAATTCTCAACACTTAATTACAGGTAGCTTTATAGCATGAGTATCTTCACCTGCCCTGAAATTTCCCAAGGATATATTTTCTAGAATACTATCAGTGGCAAAGATGGGAGGCAGTCAAAGAAATCGGAGCTACTCGTGCAGGAATTTTCCAGGCTTTCTCCTCCTTTCCTTTCTTCCTTCTTCCTTCTCCCTCCTTTTTCCTTTAACAGGTAGAGTAATTTTTCTACACTAAACTGAAACATTTCCAACTATGTCTTTGGATCTTCATGGCTCAGGGATCTCACTTAAGTAGACTGGTTCAACAACAATCATTCTGTAGTCACCATTTTTTTCCACGTTGGATAATTGTATTAATCGATAAAAAAAAAAAACAAAAAAAAACTTTTATTCAGTGATAGTCTGCTACTGAAGAACATCTTTAGAGTTAGATTTAAAAAAAACTATTTTGTCCTGGCTTGTTTTGCTCAGTAGTTAGAGCGTCAGCCCTTGGACCAAAGAGTCTCAGGTTCGATTCAGTCCCGGACCTGGTGGGAGGCAGCCAATCAATGTGTCTTTCTTGCATTGATATTTCTCTCCCTCCCACTCTGTCTGACAATAAATGGAAAAATATCCTTGGGTGAGTATTAAAAAAAAGAAGAAGAAAGGAAAACTATCTTAAGAGTCTAAACTTGAAAACTTATGAACTTCTGAGAATGTATACTCAGAACTAGGAGTCCAGTTTGCAAAACAATGAACTACGGTGTATGATCTCAATCTGCTCATGTAATTGCAAACTGGATGAATTTGTTATTTCCTTCCCAGTTTCATGACTTTTCATTCTGACCATAAAGACATTTTAATTTTTAAATTATGAATAGAATGTTAGAATATGAAAGTAACTTAGAGATTATCTAATGCAAGATTATCTAATAGATTATATAAACTGAAACTCAGAAAGTTTGACACATGGGGCATTTTTCTTCTTGGCATTTGAAAGCTGAGCTATGTGAACTGTGCGTGACATAGTTTCATTCATTCATTTAACAGATATTTATTGGGTATCTGCTATGGTTAGATACTGTTCTAGAATCTAGACCCTGGTGATCTTGAAATAAACAGGGCCAAGTCTTTGCCCTGTTGATTTCTCTTTAGTAAGAAGAAAATGTATTAAACCAGAAAATATCTTGTGGTGAACACACCATATAATATGCAGATGATGTATATAGAATTGTACTTGAAACCTACATAATTAACCAATGTAACCCCAATAAATTCAACAAAAATAAAGGAAGGAAGGAAGGAAGAAAGAGAAAGAGGGCGAAAGAAAATTCAGATGTTGATGGTGTTATAAAAATAATAAATTGGGTTAAGGGAAGAAAGATGTTTAGGATAGTGTGGGGTGGCTTTTTTATATAGCATGATGAGTGAAAGCATCCATCTCTAAGAAAGTGAGGAAGGTAGGCTATGCAAAGATAAAGAAAATGGCCTTTGAGGCAGAAGAATAGTAGATATAAAGGCCATGGGGTTGGAGTACTCCTTAGGTTATATAAATTTAGAAGAATTGTTATGAGAGTTTAAGTTAATACAATTAAATTCATTAATTCCAAAAGTTTTTGTGAGGTATTCTCAAGACAAGTGAAAGAAATATTCTCCATATAGGAAAATAATTACTTTTTCTTTATATTTTTTAGATGTTGCTAAATTTGCATAAGAAGAGTTGGATGGAAGGGTTGACACTTCAGGACTACAGTGAACACTGTAAACACAATGAATCAGTGGTCAAAGAGATGTTGGAATTAGCCAAGAATTACAATAAGGTAAAAGTTACTTCCAACCTTTATTTCTTGAAATCTTTGGAATATGTTTGATTAGATGTCAAGCACTGTATACATATAATTAGTTAAAATAGATTGACCTACTTTGTAAATCAGATAGTAAATATTTTAGGCATTGCAGCCATCCGGTCTGTCACAACTACTGGATTCTGCTGTTGGAATGTAAATGTTTGTAAAGGATGAGTGAGACTGAGTTCTAGTAAAACTAGCTACCAAGCCAGGCAGCTAACTAGATTTGGCCCCTGGAGTATAGTTTGCTAACCCCTTCTGTAGACCTGTTAAAATAATTTTACATTTGAAGTCTCTTCATTATTCAGAGGACTTTTTGTTGAAAGGACAGGGGAACAAGGAGGCGTTAGATTTTAATACTTGCTACATAAAATTTATTTTATGAACTTGTCTGTTTTAATAAGTATTTATTAAAAACCTACTATGCCAGGCATTGGGAATATAATAAAAAGCAAGACCTGTCCTCACAGAACTTATTTTCTGATAAGATAAACAGAAAGTAAATAAGTAAATACAACATAATAATTTGTGATTAGTGCTAGGAAGAAAATAAACAGGTTGACGTAAAGAAGAGTAACTAGGGGAAACCACTTTATATGAGGACATTAAAAAAGTTATATTTTGCAGAATCTCTTGAAAATGTTTATTGTGTACTAAATTGTTGTGGCCATGACAATGTTTTTCTTCATAGTTTTATATTCTTTTACCATTTTGAAATTAAGAAAACACTTGAGCTATGATTAAAATGTATCTTTTACATTGTATTAGTTTCCTAAGTGCTATCATAACAAACTTCTATCAACTGAGTATCTTAAAACAATGCATTTATTCCCTCACAATTCTGAAAATTAGAAGTCCAAACTCAAGGTGTTGGCAGGGCTGTGTTCCCTCTGAGGTCTCTAGGGGAGGACCTTCCTTCCTTTTTCAGCTTCTGTTAGTCCCAGTCTTTGGCTTCCAGGACCATAACTTCTATCTCTAACTAGGGTTAGGATTTCTTTTTCTTTTTTAAAAAATACTGTTACTGATTTTTTAGAGAGAAATAACGATGTGCAAAACATCGATTGGCTGCCTCCTGCACGCCCCCTACTGGTGATTGAGCCTGCAACCTGGGTGTGCACCCTGACGGAGAATTCAACTCTGGGACCTGTCAGTCAGTCCATGGGATGATGCTCAGTCCACTGTGCCACTCTGGCCAGACTTTTTTAAAATATATTTTTATTGATCTTTTAGAGAGAGAGGAAAGGAGAGAGAGATAGAATAGGGTTAGAATAGGATTTCAACATATCTTTTGGGGGATAATTCAATCTGTAGCATTATTTCCAACTTTTTTATCAAAGCCACATATAGAATAGGTTTTATATTTTGACCCAGTACAATGAAAATGTATATGTATATGTTCAGATATAATTGCGACAAAAGTTTCATGAAACAGTATTTACCCTTATTATGTGATATATTCTATTTTCTTTTTCATTGGACCCTAGTTTATTGTTTCAATTATATACATAAGTATTATGCACAGATACATATAGCTTACAACCCATTAATGGGTTGAAAATCTAGAATTTGTAACACACACACACACATAATATGTAATGCTATGTTTACAAATATTTATTGAACATCTCCTGTACAAGTTGCAGTGGAAAACAGGGATTCTTCCTTCATTTATAGGAAAACAGGGGCAGTAAGAAAATCTGATAACCAGAATACTACAGAGTACTAGACCAGAACTGGGGTATTCCATAACACCTTGGTATTGAAATTGTTTGCAGACCAGCTGCATCAGTATCACCTGCACTCTTCTCAGAAATGCAGACTCTCAGACTTACTGAATCACAATCTACATTTAAACAAGATTTCTAGGACATTTGCAGACTCATTGGTTAGAGAACACTGCCATAGAGAAGTCCATGTGAAGTACTGTGGAAGTTCAAAGGCTCATGGTTTCAGCTGTGGAAGACATTGGAGACTTTTAGAGAATAGCAGCATGGAGCATACATAAGATTTAGACACACAGAGAAATGTTAACCCTAGGCAAAATGAACATCACAGGCAAAGACTAGGAGAGACGGAAAGGGCAAGGACATGTTTTAGAAACTGTGTTTGGCTAGAGTACATAACGCATGAGGGTGATAATAGGAAGTAAAGTTCTTTTAAAGTTATTGAAGTCAAGTAACTGGGTTTAGAATATCAGGATAGAGTTATTTTTGATCAGGGCCATGATATACCCTGAACCTGACTTTAGAAGCATAACTTGACAGTGGCATAGAAGAAGGAGTGCTGTAAATGGAGATGCCATTTAGGAGGAGCTTGCTATTACCCAAACAAAAGGGAGTGAATGTCTGGATTATCATAGTGGCAATGGGAATGGAGGCATCAATAGACAAATAAATAAAACATGGCACCCATTGGGTAGATGACGTGAAAGAAGGAGGAGGAACCAAAGATGAATTTGAGGTATGGTGGTACCATTAACATTTCCAATTTAGGTAGAAGTGGAAGAATTGAAAGGAGATAAAGAGTTCCATTTTAAACAGGCAGAAATGTGGGACTACAAAATAATGGTAGGGGCTAGAGCTTAAGATTTTGGAGACAGTTAAAATTGATATTGGTTATCACACCAAAAAGTAATATTTCTCTTTTTAATTTAAACATATCTTGCCAAAATAAATACTAATTTAGAGACCGTGTATAAAATTTGCCAAGTATAACAACGTCTTTTGAGAGAATTGAGCTTTAAAAAAAAGTTGCTGGCCCCATACAAACTAAATTTCAGCAGAATTAGGTTTGACTTCGAAGAGCATGCCCTGATTTATATGTAATGTTCAAGCTGGAAGTCCCCATTGGTTCTAGGTTGTAAGGAAACTATTTTTTATCTTTCTAGTATATGTTTGTATGCTGTAAAGAGCAAAGACAAAGAGTGGTTTGTCATACTTGAAACAGTTAAACTTTTATAAATTAAAAAGGTATGACAAGTTATTATTTAGCAGACTGTAGGAATGGTTTTCATTTCTCAGCAACGTTACAAGTTTAAGTAAATTCATGTTGGTACCACTGCCAGGAAATAACCTATTTATGGTTACTGCTGCCCATCCACAGAAGTTTTTGCTATTTTACAGTTTTAAAAAATCTCTGTAGTACTAAAAAACTTGTAAGGTTTGGTTATAAAATGAAAACAATGTGTAAGCTGTGATATGAAGGAGTCCAAATTTGGAAAATGTAATTCCCTCTGTGATTGAAAGAGAATGCAGTGGAGTTTTTAGTAACACTTAAAATATAAAAAGAAAAGCCCATGCTACCAATTTTTCTTAGTATTCTTTTTAATTGGTTGGTGTTTTAAATTAAGGTAATTATTGTTAGGTGCCAGTTAGCTCCTAAAGTAAAAAGGAGGTCAGAAAATAATTGAATTCCTTTGTTCTAACTTTTCAATTTTAAGTCTGAATTTCACACAAAGATTCTGCTTGATCATTAGTCATTGATTTCTCTAATCACTGAATTTCAACACCCACCACTGTTAGTCCAAATTTCCTAATTTATTCATGCCAGTGCATCAATTTTTAAAATATTGGTATTTGATTGGCTATTTGTAAATGAATGGGCAAGTGAAAAAAATAAATTGCAAAAGAGCATTTTAAGAATAGCATAGACACATAAAAATTTGCCATGTTTTCAAATATGTAGCCCTATAAATTTTGAGTTCTGACAGTTTACTCTTTTAGGTAGAAATATTGCCTGTTTAGAACCTGAAAGAAACTTTGGATATATCTTTTATATGGTTACATATAAAATTTGTAATTGTATGATAATATTTTATTTACTACAGTAGCAGTATTAAATATGAACATTTTTTTGTGAGTGCAATAAGAATAGAAAAACAAAATAAGATGTAAGTATTGGGAAAATCAGAACAGATTATCATATTTAAGTATGATAGGATATGTTTGCAATCAAACATGGAAATCCAATAGACTAAGCTAGAGAACTATTAGGATTATTATAATCTCTTTGGCTGGGTAACTTAGTTGGTTAGTGTCATCCCAATACACCAAGGTTGTGAGTTCGATCCCTGGTCAGGGCATATAAAAGAAGCAACCAATGAATGCATAAATAAGTGGAACAGCAAATCAGTGTCTCTCTCTCTCGGTCCCTGAACTCCATATATACAATTTAAAAAAAAAATAGAATTATTATAATTGAAAATTATGTAGTTGCTAACCATACAAATGCTTGTATTAAAAAAATATATGCATAGCCCTGGCTGGTTTGGCTCAGTGGTAGAGCATCGGCGCACGGACCAGTGAGTCCTGGGTCTGATTGCAGCCAAGGGCACATACCTTGGTTGTGGTTCAGTCCCGGCCCTGGTCGGGGTTGTGTGGGAGGCAGCTAGTCAATGTGTCTCTCTCACATCGATGTTTCTCTCTCCCTCTCTCTCTACCTGAAGATAAATAGAAAAATATCTTCTGGTGAGGATTAAAAAAAAAAGCTTAATATCTAAAGAATACTTGTAAAATAGTTTTTAAAAACAATAATAGCTCAGTTGGTGTTGCTCAGTGGCTGAGCGTTGACCCATGCACCAAGAGTTCACCGGTTCCATTCCCAGTCAGGGCACATGCCCAGGTTGTGGGCCAAATCCCCAGTGGGGGGCATGCAAGAGGCAGCCAATCGATTTTTCGCTCTCGATGTTTCTCTCTCTCTGTCTTTCTCCCTTCCTCTCTCACATCAATAAAGGGGGAAAAAAAAGTTAAAAAAAATAAATAAATGGACAAAAGACCTAGGAATCTCTGAAGACCAGTGGCATGTGAACATGAAAAAAAAGTTCAACCTTATTAACTAGTCAAAGAAAAGGTAAAATTATAAGTAGAAAATTTTCTTTCAGATTAAAAAAAAATTGTTTAGGGAAATGCACCTCTGGTGAGAAAGTAAAGTGATAGAACAATTTTGGAAGCCATCTTCCAGTTTTATGTTTCAGTTTTAAATGCATATAACTCTTTAAACCAACATGTTTTTGTTTTTGGTTCTCTTTTAAGGGTTTATTATGGAAAATAAAAAGTACAAATACCAACCGAGGAAAGTATTTGCAACCTGCTATTATGTGTAAAAAATTAAATTGTATTGTATAACAATTAAAAATCCCCGCTATGTTACCCCTCACCCCCTTTTCAAAGACACCTATCTCACATATATTGCAACATATTATGTTGTTAAGTGTCACCTTTCAGGTGCAAGGGAGGGGAATCATATACTTTATGTAAATCCTGAATTATTTTCAGCTTTTGCACTAAGCAAGTGTTACTTATACCTAAGATTGTGTTACCTCAACAAAACAATGATTTAAACAAAATAGAAATGTATGTTTCTTGCCATTGAAGGCCTGTATGAAAGTTTGAAGTCATCACAGATCCATAATCCTTATGTCTATTGCTCCACTTTCCTCTTATTGGCTTCCATCCTTTAGATCTCCTCATGATTTTAGAGTGATTGCTACATTAGCCATCCCATCTGAGTTCTAGGCAACAGGACAAAAAGGAAGGACAAAGAAGGATACCTCCCAGTTAAATCAGTTCCTTTTCAGAATCCTTTCCATAAGTCCCACCAGCACTTCTGATTATATCTCATTGGCAGAACTTAGTCAAGTGAACACACCTTGCTTTGATATAATGTAGACTTCACCTGGGAGCATTTCTGCCTTTAATAAAATCAGGGTTTTATTACAAAAGAAGAAAGGGAAGATATATACTGGGTAGGCAACAAGTAGGCTCTGCCATAGGATTTTTTTCCCCCACAAACTGAAATCATTTCTGTTACACACACACACACACACACACACACACACACACACACTATATTTTATATCCCTATTTCATGTGATTACATTTTAAAATTGGGTTGCCTGTATGATTTTTAGAAAGACCTTATGCTGGTCAAAGCCACTTATAAGTATGTGTCTCTTAAAAAGTAATTTCCTGAATTACTATGAATGTTGCTTTAATCTTTGGAGACTGATAGGACTGTGTTTAAGTCACAGTGTCATTGTTTATTGGCCAAATGGTTATATGTGTCCCCATTGTTCTTTGTGCACACTCCTTTTTTGTGTATTTCATATTGCATTCATTATGATTGGAGATTCACAGGCAAGTAAACCCAAATGTGAGCTCCTTAAAGAGAAGAACTAGCTTACTGAGGGTACTTAATAGTGATTATCGAATGTGTAAAATGATAAAAATTCTGCTGAGGGCACGCATAGAATATACTGGAGTGTTATAAACTATTGCAAGAGAATTGGTTTTCCTACAACTATAAGGAATTAAATATTAACATACATATGCTTTGCAAATATTAATTTACTGAATCCTTAAAACATCTCAGTGAAGTAGTTAATCTACATTTTATATATGAAGATATTCGGCATTATTGGGAGAATCACGTGTTAATTCTAGCAATACTTACACTATAAAATTGTTTTCCAGTTTTCTTGTTTTCCATACTCATACCTCTATACTTTTTCAGATAGTTTTTCATTGTTTTATGATTATTAATTTTTCCCCAAGTATGTTTTATAAAAACTATTTTTGAAACTTATCTCTACCCCCAAACCCATAATGTGATTTTCAGTTAATAGCCAATATGTTGACTTGATATAAAAATCAAGAAAGAAGTAAAAGTACATTATAGTGAAATTCACTAGCAATTATGTAGAGATTATTTAATAGTGAAAAATACTATATAGGTGATTTTAGAAAGCATGTACTTTAAATAAGATTAGGTTATGATATAGAGTAAACAAACTTAACATGTCAAAGGGGAAAAAAGAAGCCCACCAAATAGTCAGAGAACTATGAATTAGAATAAGAGACATGGTGTTAAAAAAGGAGAGGTTAAAGAAGGGAGAAGAGAAAACAGATATTGGAATAGCTGTAAGGTGTTCAGAAATGTCAAGAAAACTGAGTCCTTTGGAAGTCACCTGGTGGAGATTCTTAAAAGACTGTTAATGAAGTACCAAGGATATAATTCGTGTTTGTTAAATGGTAAATAAAAGGTAGAATTTGAGATACAGGTTTTCCACTTGTGAAATGCGACCATTACCAGAAAAAAGAAAATGAGGTTAATGAGTTTAGTAAAAGCCTCTTTGAGATAGGGGGTACGTCTGAGGGGATTATGATAACATAACAGACCAAATTCCAGGAATTTCTTAGAACTGTGCAGACCGTGCATGATGGGATAGCCATCTGGGGGTCTTTGTTGATAAACTGTTAAAAACGTTTCTAGTGTGAATAGCCACAAACATTTTCAGTGCTTTTTTGTTGGTTGAGTAAACCGAAGAGCACGAATGCAAAAGCAAAATTTGATGCCAAATCACAGAAGTTGCCATAAACACAGAAGTTCCCCTAGTGAGGACACTGCCTGTGCCTGAATTTTCATTTGTTTCTGCTGCTACCATTTCTTACTTTTTCCTGGTGACTGGCCAGATTAGAATTATGAATGAAGAAAAACTGGTCTTGCCCAGATGGTAGTTGAGATAGGTAAGTTAGGTAGAAGGAGAAAATATTTCAGTGGTGGTCTGGTCTGATCTGGTCTATCTCAGAATGTAAGAGACGTGCCTACTCTTTTGTCATGGGGGTTTGCAACCTTAGTATATGCCTAAATCTACAGCTGCTCCTCATTTTCCAGATGGCATCTATGGCTGGGAGTACTTTTTACCATCTGCACTTCTCAAAGAGTTTGTGAACTCTCTATTTTAATTATTGGAAATGGAAAAACTAATTGGTAAAGTTGTTATATAATGTAAAATATTTAAAAAATTAAGTTCTTACATTCTACTGAAGCTTTCGTATAAGGTCAATGCTTTAAATGACTTTTGACTCATCTTTGCATATCTACCATCTTTGATATTTTCAGTACTCTAAAATACCCCTTAATAACTATTTTGTACATGGATTGATATTTTGAGCCAGATTCCAAAACTCTTACCTCCTTCCAGTACTCTCAAGTACTATTTTTGGCATGTGCATAGAACAGCTAACGCTGAATGGATATAGAGTACAAACTTATGTGAATTGTTCCATTCATCTAATATGTTTTCAAGTCAGTCATTAAGGTATAGTGTCATAATTTGTAAAAGTAATTGAGAAGGACAAACTTTTTGTGCGTTACAATATATCCATATTCAATGAGATAGTGAGAGAGGCAATTTCCCAGTTAGGAAATACTTTTTTTAACTAGCTGAGAATATGAGTGACATCTGACTCTGAAAATGAACATCTTCTCTGTCTAGGGAATTCTGGATTTGGAGTGTTATTAACTTTATTTTTCCTTTTGCATCCTTATGAGTCATAAGTGTATTTCCTAATGATGTGTTGTAAATAAGTATACTGTAATAATCAGTAGATACAATACGTATTCACCATCTTTTCTTTTAGGCAGGTTCTACCAGGGAAATTCTCTAGATAGTTTGTCCATTTATAAAATTAGACACTTGCCATCTTTGCTCATTTTCAAGTTCTCTGTTTACAAAACTATTAAGAAGGTGTGAAATGCAGCCAAACTTCCCAGTTTATGGGAAATGTCTGATGATTGCATTTCCTACATGTTCATTGTTCACACATGAAGAAATTTGGCAGCTGCAAGATTATTAAGAGTATCCAAATCTAACCCTCACTGGGATTTTTGTTTTCCTGCTTTCTGCCACCACTATCTTATCCCCTTTTGTAACCATATTTGTGGTAAGTGCTATGGAGTTCTTTCTTAAGATTAGTGATCCTTAAATTTTCTTTGTTTACATTTATCGGATGCTATGAGTAAATCATAGACCAGGAGTTCACCCGGTGTACTTCTTAGCCTCCAGTTTAGCCATCCCTCAAAGAATTCCAGAACAATTTCCAAATGGTTAACTGGTGGTCCAGTTTGGTATTTTCAGTGCCTTTTACATATTTCTTAAAGTCTGTTTTCAAAATGATAGTGGTGTTAGTTTTTATCACCTTGAAGGATATTCTGAAGATGAAGAAAATTACTTTTTGTTCAATAAATTACTTGAATAAAAGGTTCTGTGAATGAAAATTATGATAGCCATTATCTTTAATGATTATTCTGCAGTGAGAAAAGTAAATTTAGGATTTGAAACTCTGTCCTTTGTGTTTCATTCACAGGCTGTAGAAGAAGAAGATAAGATGACACCTGAACAGCTGGCAATAAAGAATGTTGGCAAGCAGGTGAGGTGTACTGTAATAGGTTATGCAGTCGCATAATAACCTGCTCCTGTAGAGTTAAAACTATTTTAGGGCCTGCATGATTTTTTCTCCCTGTCTGTTCATTCTACATTTCTCTTCTGTCATGGAAATGTGATGCTAATTTTAAAGGTCACTGAATTATTTGATGCCATATTCTCTCTGCCATCTATAGAGAAGTAAATCACAAATATACCTGTGAGATCTTTAGTGAAAATAACTTACTAGAAATAAATTAGGAAACTTGTGTCCTGAGTTAATTTTTAAGTATTATTTTTACTTGAAATAATATTATCAGTGAAGATAACAGAATGGTAAATTTATTTCACTGTAAAAGTTTTTAACGATATAGTTTAGCAGTATGTAGGTAATGTTCCTAAGAAAGCTTAGAGCCCGATTGGATAATACTGAGTGAAGAGAAAGGGTTTGAAGTATTTGCTCTTTCACTTTTCTAAGATGAAATATATTTTTTAATTCCTGTTTTCTGAGGGTTGGGGAGAGCACACCAACCAATTAAAAGAATCTACAGATTAATTAGACTGTTTTTTAAAGAATGTTGATTACATTTTTTCATTTCATGGAACATGGTTATCATATTGCTGATGTTGGCAGAATCTTGATATTTCAGATGCAAGACACTAAGCTGTCTTTGCTTTCAGCCATCCTACCATATGCTCTGATCCCATCACATCTCACAAGCTATGTAGGTTTGGGCCAGGACCATTCTTGGATGGGAAATCTCTAAGAATCACCCAGCTGCCACAAGAAGTAATGTAGATAACTGAGGGAAGTGTGTTACCAATTCACTACAAAACCGGTTACTCCAGCAGAGCAGTGGGGGCAAAGGTCTGACTTAAAAATATCACAATTGGTGAAATCAAATCTCACTACATTCTGAATACTATAATTTAAAAACAACAAGAACCTTCCAAAAGCAAAAGGAAATACAAGTTCATCTTATTCTCTCATCCTATGGGATGTAGTCACCCCTGTTGTGTTTTCCTACTACTTATTTTCATCTAATACATTAGATCACCACTGTGGAGACTTGCACTGTATAAAATTCAGTAACTATTTTTTGAGTAAATGACTCTCTGAAGCTATAGTTTCTTGATGTGTAGGTTTTATATAACAATTAGCAATTAATTAAAGGACTAAGTTAAAATAAAAATGAAACTTAAAAATGTATAATTGCAAAGTGTAATAATCATCAGAATAATTTTTAAAATATAGTACTTGACTGGTTTGGCCTACTGCATAGCAAAAGCAAAACTGTCTATATTGGAATTAGACCAATAATCGTCTTCTCCTGTCAGTCTTTCTCAGTCTCTTCCACCTAAAATGCCCTAGGTCTGTATTTGTGAAATAAAGAAAATTTAATATTGTGGTCTAGTAACTTGAAATTCTTTGTAGCATGTTGTATCTCTGGGTTGTTTAAAGAAATCAAGTACATTGAAATTGTAGATTAGAAGAGAACAGCTAAGAAACAATTCCAGTAATGAACATTTGTTTAAAGTTAGGAGTCAGGGATTTTAGTAATAGTCATAAGAAAATAATGCTTTAACTGAAAGTCTTTTTATTGTGTGCAGTGTATATCCTTTATTTCAAAGCTTTCAAATTTAGCTGGAAGATTTTTTTTTTTTTTTTTTTTTTTTAATCCTCACCCGAGGGTATTTTTCCATTTTTTTGTACAGATAGAGTGGGAGGGAGAGAGAGGAAGGGAGAGAGAGAGAGAAACATCGATGTGAAGGGACACATCGAGTGGCTGCCACCCGCACGACCAACCAGGGCCGGGGACAAACTGCAACCGAGGTACGTGCCCTTAGCGGGAACCGAACCCGGGTCTCTCCGGACCGCAGGCCGACACTCTAACCGCTGAGCCAAACTGGCCAGGGCTAGCTGGAAGATTTTAATTTAACTTCTTTTACTACAATGCAATATTTTTAGGCTGTATTTTTTAAACATATGTTAATTGATTTTTAGAGAGAGGGAAAGGAAGAGCAAGAGAGAGAGAGAGAGAGAGAGAGAGACATTGATGTGAGAGTGAAACATCAGTTTGCTGCCTCCTGCATATCCCTCCCTGGGGATTGAGTCCAAAATCCATGCATTGGCCCTGACCGGGAATGGAACTGGCAACCCTTTGGTGCACCAGGCCATGCCCAACCAACTCACCACACCAGCCAGGGCTACTACAATGCAATTTTAAGCCTTTCTAAATTCAGACATTTCAAATATAGAATTGATCAGATTTAACTTAAAGGGTTGTACCTATACACTTTTCTCAGATGACATTTATTTTTTCAAAATAGCTGCATGAAAGATTTATTCTTAACATTTTAGAATTGATCCTAATTGTAGTTAAAATTGTAAACTACTAACAGTGACTTTTGACCCAAGAATATTTTCTGAATCATTTAAAGCACTATTCCCAAAACATCAAAATTATACAGGAATTAAATTTAAATTTAAATTTTAGAGGAAGTGATGAGCACTCACACTGAACTCTTACCTACTGATATGTCTGCTTTGAGTAAAGTACCACTCAGACAATCAATATATGTGAATGGCAAAAAATATACACACATACTCGGGCTTAATACACACATATAAATACTTATACTTTTTAATAGATGATTGCAGGTTGTATAGAATTGTGTTACTCTTTGTAGCGTGTTAGTCTTTCACTGTGTAATCTATTATTTTATCTGTTAATTTTTTAAGATTTAGAAATTCTAAAAATGTAACAGTATATTAGGAGAGTTAAATTGTGAAATTATATAAATTTAGATTTGGCTTTCTTGACTGATTTTATAACTACTGAAAAAAATCTAAGTAATTTGTCTACTAGTAATATGGTTCTTTTTTCTTTCTCTTTCCTTATTTTTTTTTTTTTTAGGACCCCAAACGTCATCTGGAAGAACATGTGGATGTACTTATGACTTCAAATATTGTCCAGTGTTTAGCAGCTATGTTGGATACGGTCGTATTTAAATAAAGCAATGCAGAAAGCTTTTAGTGATACCTTCAGTGTATATTACTCTATTGTTCCCACTGCTCCAAATCAAGGGACCTCTGAAGGTGTATTTGGTTAAATGTACGACTCTGGCATCATTGGCAGCACTATAACACCTCCAGTCTCAGTTGTGCAATTACATCTGTTTCTTCGGTCAGGGGCTTTGCAGATTCCAAAGTTGTATAAGAGTACATCAAAGTGGACAAATTTTGTTAAGGTCCCATTTAATATTTGAAGAAATCAGTAACACAAATATATTTTGATTGTTGCTTACAAAATAAAATACATTTACAATCTATGTCTCCTGAGGTCTTTGTGGCACTGGGTGGAATTGACAATAACATTTGACAGTGCTTTAGAAATCTCACGCTAAGATATGTTTCCCTTTGCGTTTTAAGATTTTATAACACATAAAACATCAATGTGATAATAAAACTTGGCAAATGTAAAATGATTGCCATTAATGAATGGCTACCTCATTAGTGGGTAATGTAGTAATAATACTGACATGTTTCATTTAAAGTATTTGTCACAAGTTAATACTGTATACACACTCTATCTTGTTAACATATACATTCAGAATTTCAGAAGAGTTTATTTAAGAAGGGGGCAATTTTGATGTAGACTATCATTTTTTAAAAGAGTATAATCCACTAACCATGTTGATTGATATGATGTGGGAATTGTCTGCTGCAAACTCCACTAGACTTTCAGCTAAGACAGCCAGAGAAAGTATACTATATAATGTCTTCAAAAATGAGGAAAGTAGCCATCATGTTAGTTTAATATAATAAGCACATAAGCAATACTTTTCTTACTGTTTTCTCTCATCTTTTGCAAATTAACTTAGAAGTACTCAGTTTTCTGATAAAGACAAAAATTTGACTTAATGACAGTTTTTGTAGATGACCTCATCCCACAACATGCTTCTAACCTGGTGTACATATAAGTTCAGCGCCCATTAATACTTTCTCATGATACAGCACCATACTGGGTACACCAAAGAGAATTGGCAAAACATGTAGACAAAGATTTAATTCTTATCTGTGCCCTGTGTAAAAATATGGCAAAATGTTTCTGAGGCTTCATTAAAGGAAGGTTTTACTTGGACACTTAGAATTTAGACTTAGCTTCTACTAGAGAAGGTATGAATGAAGTGGTAGATCGAATTCCTGTCCTATTTGAACAACCCAGGCTCTTATTGCTTGCCCAGTGAGAAGGTAGGAGAAACTAAAAGTGGAAATGTCTTAAATTTCCACTATATCTTGCAGTCTCTTTTTGGTGGAATGAGATATTCTGAGTATTTCTTGCTTTTCCTGTGGTTTCTTCTTTTAAATATGGTGATAGTATATTTTATGTAGGACGTGTAATATGTATTGTTGGGATTACAATTAATCATTTACAATTAAAATATAAGTGGAAGGAAGTTTTCCTTTTGCCTAATTTAAATGTGTGTGGACTCCCCCCTCCCTATACATTATTTTCCCCTTTACATAAATAAGGTTCTATGACTTATTTCACAGTTATTGTTCATTAAACCTGGTCAGATTTTTTTTGTACAATATGCCTTCAGAAGAAGGCCTCAATAATGCAAAGGCTATTCTCAACATTCTGTTTGGAAATACTTTTTTCCCCTTCACTTTATCCCCTTGAAAATACTTCCTGAGTGAGTACAGTGACTGAGAAGGCTTATACAATTCTTGTCTTTTTCTGGGCTCCCCACAGCCACTTACCACTTTCTCTCACTTGGTTCATATTAGAGGCATTCCCAATTTCAAAACCACATCAGAATCCCTCCTACCAAAAACCTGCATTTTCTTTGTAGATCTAGAGTCTATCAAAATTAGGATGCCCGAAGAAGCAGCTCATTGCATACACCTTTGTCTCAGAATGCAGCACTATTTTAGCAGCAGCCTGATGGCCCTTAGGCATTGAAATGACTTGATGAGCCATTTCAGGGGTGTGTGTGTGTGCATCTTTACCCATGTACTAAACAACATTAAAGCAGCACTAGGACCCAAAGTCTTGCTTACCTCTAATACAGAAATGTCCCTGCTTTACTCATGAATGCACTGGGAGTTCCAATCTCACTATTCAGTGTGATCTGCCTGGAACAGGAACACCCGGGTGTTCTGGGAGTTTACTATATACACAAAATTCAGGCCCCACTCCAGACCTGAATCAAAATCAATAATCCTGGCATGGTTCATATGCACTTCAAAGTTTGCCCTGCTCTGCAAACCTCTGGCTCAAAAGCAGGTGTGCTGATCCTGGGGCAAGCCTCAGTTTGCCTTGAGTATATATAAATTAAAGGCATAGCCTATATGTGAAGAATCACTGAATTTAGTACTGATAATTTGAGTGCACATTGTCTCCTGATCCAATTCCTTAAAACCTCTTGAAGTGCACTCTAACCCTTTTCTATAACATTTTATTTTAGCATTCTTCATTTTAAAAAGTCAATTCAGGGTGCTAGGAATGACAGCCTCAAAAAAGAGCCCAGGTGGAGTCTCACCTTTTTGCTACACATTTAAAGCTCTGTGTTCCATTGAAGAAGGAGGGGGTAACTTTGGAAGCAAAGGAGAACAGAGGGGAGACACTCAGGGACAAAGAATTTAATGATCAAAGAAAGGAGAAAACAAGAGTATCCAAAATAGAGCAAAAGCCTCTCATGAGAAATAGCGGTGGAAGGTAAAGGGCAAAAAAACAAAAAAACCAAGTGTCATAGCCACTGTCTGCAGCCCCGCGCCCCACCGCCTCAACAGCTAAGGCTCTGCTTGCTTATTAAGCTTCCAGGCAAGAAGCTGAGAGAGATGCTTCCGAATGGGAAAATGGGTCTGGCTGTATTTTTCTCCCAGAAAACCGTCTCGGTTGAGTCTGGACATCTGGTCATCAACCAGTCCAGCCCAGTGCCGCCAGCGCCGGGCCTTGCTCGCGGCGCCCTGCTGGAGGCCGCAGCTGGTGCCCTCTGCAGCGAAGGCGGCCAGCCCTCCTCGGGGGCGCAGTCTGAGCTCAGCGCAGACCGCTAGGCTCACCGAGGCCCCGATCTAAAAACGCGCCCGCCTAGGGTTGGTCGAGTCTGGTTAACCCCTCTCAGCCCCTGCCCAGGACCCACCCAGTGTCCCCAGCGCCGCTTTGGGACTTGGGGAGAGCAGACGCGCTCTTTCGAAGGCATAGGCCCCACTGGGCGGAGGTGCCCGCAGTGTTTCCGGCACCGAAAGCGTGTGCCCGGGGGTCTGCGCCAGCCAGACGCCGCTTGCCCGCGCTCCCTCCGTCTCCTAGGCGGCGGCTCCCTCTTAGGATCGCCTGGGTCCTAGGGAACCATCTCTTGGGCCGCTCGGGACTTTAACAATGAGCCAGAGCCGGGCGGCTGGTGTCGGTCTGAGCGCCGGGTGCCGGGGGGTGGCTTCGCCTGCAGCCAGCCCCAGCAGTGCCCCGCACGGCGCCGCCCTCCTGTCAGCCAGCTCCCCGGGCCGGGGGAGCTCGGTGCGGCGCTTCTGCACACTCCCGCGCGGCTCCGCGTCCGGGAAAGCCGCAGGAGGGCAGCCCGCGGGTGCCGCGCCGTGGGAAGCCGCTTTGGGCGCACAAAGCCTCTGCTGCTCTTGGCCCTCGGGTCCAGGCAGGGGCTGGTTCCTTTGCAGAGCGAGTACTAGATTTCTTCTTACACCTGGGGTCGCTTTGGGCCTCGTGCTAGGTATTTGTGCCAACATCCTTTTAAATTGCTTTTCTCTATTTCCCCGCAGATTCTTCCGCATTTTAAAATTACTGGCATGGATTCTTTTCCTCTCTCTCAGATTATATAAACATTACGCGCGTGCGCACGCGCGCCCGTGCACACACACGAGTCTTCGGTAACGATCGCAGCGTTGACACCACTTCCACTCTGCCTCCCCAGATCAGCGCTTCTAGCGAACCCATTTGCACGAGGACTCAGCCCTCTCTTTTTCTGGCGAGGCTTTTGAACCTGTCGCCAAGCCAGTACCTCAGAGAGAAAGAAGAGCAGTGGGATGCGAGGGGCGCAGGGCGCTTGCCCCCGGTTAGATGCTCTTCAGACAATATGCAACCAAGCTCGCTGATAAAATATTTAGTTAACAGCACTGCAAATACATTAAGGCACTTTAGCCCGACAGCTTATGATTATTTCAAAACTTAAAAAGAAGATCATAGATTGTCACTGTTTCTGTGCTCACCCAAGAAACCGAACCTTCATGAGGTGGGTGGACGGGTGGGTGAGTTGCTGCTTTCGCCCCCCACTTCTCCCTCTTCCCGCCCACTTTCATCGCTCTCAGCAGCAGTGATTTATTTATTTATGTATTTAAAAGGTGTATGTTGGGGTGGGGGTCGCCGAGGACACGCAGGACCTGCTCACAAAAGACTGGCTCAGGTGTTGTGTGCTTCTGTATTAACTGGAAAAGACAGACTCTGGAACTTTTACAGGGCGAGAAGAGGCCACCGGCTCGCGCTTTGTATACTTTGCACTTGAAATCGTTACATTCAACTGAATATTTGGCTCATTCAGATCTGAAGTCTCCTAGCATCGTCGAATTCCCTCCTCCGCCCCTGAGCTCGAAAGGAGGGGGGGGGGGTGTAGGAAAATGTTTAGTAAATTGCACATCTTTGAATCTTCCTAAAGCAGTGGTCATAAAGCTTAAAGGTGACACAACAGTGCTCACGTAAAACCAACACATATTCCCCACCCCTCAAGCCAACAATAAAATCATCCCCTTCAATTTGCCGTGATCGTCGCGACCAGGAGCCAGGTGATTATCCTAATTAATGTCTATCTAATTAAATTACTGTCAGCAGTTAACCAATGGCAGGAGCCGTTTCATCGGCTGCACAAGCAGCAAGATCAAAAGTGAGCGAGCCTTTTCTGATTGCTGCATAGTGTCAATTGGCCAATCTCTTCTCCCAGGGGAAAAAAAAAAAGTAAATCAAACCTTTGAGAAGCATTTGCTGGATGAAGTGCTTTCTGTCTAGTGAGGGGGTCTGTGGATTTCTAGTTTATGATAAATAGGACTTTAAAAACCAAGGACAGGAGGGCGAGTGTTCAGGTTCTAGAGCTATGCAGCTGGAGCACTGCCTTTCTCCTTCTATCATGCTATCCAAGAAATTTCTCAATGTGAGCAGCAGCTACCCACATTCAGGCGGATCTGAGCTTGTCTTGCACGATCATCCCATTATCTCGACGACTGACAACCTGGAGAGAAGTTCACCTTTGAAAAAAATTACCAGGGGGATGACGAATCAGTCAG